GATCAACTTACTCAATCATTTGAAATGATTTTGAATCTTTACGAATATTTGGATTAATTTTATTAAATTGTTCATAAAATTTTTCAATAGTTTTACTATCATTTGTATATTCACAATCAATTAATTGACCATCGGTTAACCAGAATTGAATAATTTCATGTTCATTACGTGTTAGCTAATTGAAAAAAACGATCATTACAGTTAATTCAATGTGGTTGATCATATTTTGAATCAGAAAAAATATTTACCTGTATTAAATCAATATGAAGATAACGAGTTTCAATGGCTGAATAATTATTCCAATGTAATTTAGTAATAATTTCACCATCTTTTAATTGATATGTTGATGCAAATGATTCATTATTATAAACAGGTTTATAGATAGATTTTGATGATAATGATGATGATGGTAATTTATGGGCTTGAATGGTCATCATCAATGACGATGATGATTGGATGACCAACAATAATGATAATACTATGAACGCCATCATTCAATAATTTGATATTAATTTATGCTGAAAGCTAAGAATGATATGTGGAACACGATTATGAATGATTGCTTTTCAATGATTGCTTCAATCTTATCAATCTGCAGATTATTTCAAATGAATTTCAATATCAAAAAAAATGATGATATGATTTTGTTTGTCGTTGTCGTTGCTACTGGTTTTATTTTATTTTTCTATTTTCCTGGTTTCAACGATCATACGATCGATTTATGTAATGGTATTGGCGGTGTGTGTTTTGTAAATGATAATTTCTCGCGCGCGCAATAAATCCACACCACACACAGAAACAGCAAACAAGAAGCAAAGCAAAAGTTTTTCTAAATATGTAGGCCAGTGATTCTCAACCAGTGTGCCGCGGCACTTTAGTGTGCCGCGAAATTCTGAAAATGCAACTGTTATATATTCAAAAATTCTAAAATTGTGCCGCGACAACAAAAAGGTTGAGAATCACTGATGTAGGCAACCACCGGCTTTTTTTTTCTTTGTCAATGACACACAGACAATGGAAACAAAAATATAAGTCAATGGGAACAAAATGAATGATTTTTATACTGCCCAGTCAAAACCGAAAAAAAACCAAACCGTAAAAAATGGATGAATATTTTCGATGGCGCGATAATCGATGCGTCGAATCATGATCAAATGGCGTGATCACGATTCGCGTCTATTACGTCATCATCATCATCATCATCTTTTACATTTTACGCACATGTCAAATAGGATTGATGTTTGTTGCCAAAAAAAAGAAAACATGCGTTTACATCTTGATCACCAAAATTATTTGCCGATCAAATGATGAAAAAATCGATAAAACTTTTTTTTTTGATTGATTGATTGATTCTTCGCCAATTTCAACAACAACAACAAAAAAACCAATGATATTATCATCATGTAAAGATCTTTTTTCCCATGAAATTGATTCATTGGAATTTTTGGCAATTAACATAGATTGCATTGCCAGATAAATAACAACTTAACAAGTTCAATTCATTTGTATTTGTATTTATTTAATTTATAATTTAGGATCAAAATAAAATTGATTATACCATTATTATAATAATAAAAAAATACAAATGAAAAATTCTTTAGTCATTGTTTTTTAAAGGTGAAAAAACAATCAATCATCCAGCCATCAATCAATCTATTTTTTAGCTTGACGTAATTGAGCTTCTAATTGTAATAATTCTTGGCGACTTTTATTATGTTTACGTGAAAAACGCATGTTACGTAATAATTTTTGATCAACCTGTTTATGTTTAGATATATAAAAATTCATTA